TTAGCAAGTGTATTTTCGTTCACATTATAATTAAAATATCTAAACTCTTCAAACCTTTAAGAGCACTAAGAAAACAGCATAAAGCACGATTAGTTTATCACTATTCTGATAAATCTATGAACGTACTATTTATATACTATTTCAAAGGTGTTTCAACCAATCATAATTCTGATTGACTGGAAACGAGATTAATTAATAAACGAGAGATTAATTCATGTATTAATAATTTAAATTAATACATAATAATTTATTTAAGTTATGTACCATTAATATCTATAATTGTATAATTGTGTTGTGTAAATATAAAAATAAAATAAAAAATAAAATTCGTTTTACATTAATGCTTCAGATTTTCATTATATATTTAATTATTCATAAATAGGTTTGGCCTATCTTAGTACAATTAAATTTGTTGACGCATTTAATTTGCATATATACATCATTTTTTACATTAAGCACATCACATTCATTCAAAGAATTAAATTAAAATTTTCTAATTTATAGAATTAATATATCAATTTCATTAAAAAAACATGTCGCACATTGAAATGTTTGTACAAACAATAATTTTATTTGTACTTTTACCAGAAAAAAGTTCACTTTACTAATACACTTTATTATCGATTTTATTCATTAATTATTATTGCATAAACGTATTGCGCCTATTTGTCATTTATTCACCAATAGCTGTTCAAATAATATATTTGGAAAATATTTATCATAAATAGATAGTAGATTACGAATAGAATAGTATTCAATACAGTCAAGAAAATCATTTATAATGCATATTCATTGATGTGTGCTTTATATATTTTAAATTTGGATCGTTCTCAGTTTAGGAAAACAATGGTTATTAGAAAAAAGGTGTAAGAAATATATTAACTGATTAAGTTGATGTAAATATTAGTTAAATATTCCATTGGTATCTTAGTAACTTAGATTGACTAAGTTAATATAATTTAATAATTATTTGAAAGATCTAGGATCTTTGAAAGATCTAGGATATTAACTTAGATTGACTAAGTTAATATAATTTAAGAATTATTTGAAAGATCTAGGATCTTGTTGATCAACTTTATTTCAAATTATATTGTATTTGTATTTAAAATAATTTAAATACAACAAATTCAGAACATCTATTTTGGTACGAAAATTCTTAATTCTGACAATAAATATCTGTCATTATATTATATTACCAAGAAAATATCTAGTACATTGTGATAGGTTATCTCAAATAAATGAGCAATAAACAATTTGCCCGTGGAGAAAACGAAGAAATATTTCAAGCGATCAAGCGAATAAATTTCATTTTTAAACATTATTTGCGGTAGACTTAGCTAAATTTTAATTTTTGCTGACGTTTTATTGACCTCTAAATTAGCAATAATCACTGCGAATTTCAAATAGTTAAAAATAAATTAAATTAAAATTAAAAATAATAAATTTTACAAAATGTGTTATTTATGTGTTAAATTATATTTTACCTTCATTCATAATACACTGAGAACTATCTTGTGGTCAAATTTTCAAAATTTAAAAAGTGCTCCAGTGTCGTCACATTCTAAACGCACTTGCGAAAATATTTGTACCGGGTTGTCACTTAGACTTTGCTTAGTCTGGGTATTTTTTGGAATTTTTAACACAAGATTACAATTTTATAATTTAGTTACCTAAAATTAAAATTATTACTCGAATCATTTTCGATATTCAAAAAAATAGGAATAAAAAATTAAAATAAACTAGTGGGGTGTATGGCATCGTGCCTTAAGGCAAATTGCAGGAATTTCCCGTACCGTAACGAAATGATCGAGGAATATTAAATGTTTTAAAATAGAATATAAACTAAATTGGAAAGTTGAAATTATTTGTTTAAAGTATATTAGAACATAATTAAAATAAAAATCTGAATTATTTTCGATATACAAAAAAACATTTCTGGAAAAAAAAATTTGAAGCAAAAATTTTCAATTATTTTGTGAAAACCAGCAGAAAGTTTTTGGAATCATTCAAATCGGACGCTTATTTCTCTCAAAAACTACCATTTGTTGCACATTTAGCTCTGTATCTCCGAAACCGCTGGACTTGGCTTTGCCAATCACCCCTTCTCCCCGTCATTACGAATTGAATGTTTTTGGGATCATCGAGAAATGTAAAATTTTTCAATTTCGATTTTCGGCCCATTACAATAACTTACCCTACGGGAAGTTAAAAATGCCTTTTTCAAAAACTAATAATTTTTTCACAAGCATGAATGTTTTTTGAATTATTCAAATCATTCAATAAATTTTAAAAAAGCATGAAATAACCAACGTCTCTATTTAATAAGTGCTAAATCTGTACTTAACCCATATATCGGATTCACCATGAAACCTTTAAATAAATTATAAAGAAATTGAAAATAAGTCAATTCACAAATATAGTTTTCGTGGTTTACAATTAGAAATATGTGATTGCGTGGGAAGGGCACAATGAGCATCTTCGTAAGTGTTGTAGTCGCTCGAACATGCGTTGGTAACTGACGTATAAACTGATCCTTGTGCTAAAATTTACAGGAGCGAAATGTAAAACTGAACTAAATAATATGCATATATAAAAACAATATAACTTGGTGTATATTGGTAGTGCATGGCATCGTGCATAAAGGCAAATTGCTGGAACTTCCCGTACCGTAATTAGAACATTTGAAAGTTTTAAAAAATTTGGAAACTGATGAAAATAGATTTTTTAGAATTTTGTCATTTTTGAAAAAAATTGACTTTTTGAAGAATTTCATTTTTTTACATTTCGAAATTTTTAATAATTTTTAATTTTTTGTTCAACGCGGTCGCAATGCGTAGCAGTTTTAGAGACGTAGAAGCGCGCTACGGGAAGTTCAAGCAATTTACCTTAAGGCACAATGCTATGGACCACTAGTTATTTCACTCATAATACAATGTGCATACAAAAAGTATGGGTACTTGCTCATTTAATAAAAATCTTTTTCTTTTTTAATACTCTTTATATCTTTTTCTTCAAAAACCTATACGAAAAATTATGCACTTATTTTCTGATCATAAAGAAGGCTGTAATTTTAGTGCAGACATCGATGAAGTCGATTTTGGTAAAACGCCGATAAAAATGTTAAATTTTAAGTCACATACTCATATAAACACATATTTTTTTCAATTTTGATATCAAACTATTCAGAATGCATTGAAAAGACGAGAAAATATAAAATTAGCAAATCGCATTTTGTTCCAAAACATAAACTTGTCCTTTAGCCATAGCCATAGGCCTTTCTTAAATAACTTTTAATACAACAGTCCCAACAATGTATGTTTTTTTTTAAAATCGTAGAAATATGAAACGATTTTTAAATTCATATTTGCCACTAAAAAGCAATAAATAAAAATGAGTAATTTTATGTGCTCATAAAAATAATGCTCTGTTTGTCAACATGGAAATTTACTTCAACTTTTTTCTTCAACCCATTAACTGTTGAATATTGATATTAATGTTTATTATTTTGTAGAAGTAAATTCAATGCGTGAAGAAATACATTTCAGATAACTTTATAATAGATCATCCATACATTTTTGGGATAGTATTTTCTGAATATCTGAATGCAATGTGTATAATTTTACTGAACCAAAATAATTATTCAATAAATAGAATAATGAAAGCTAGCATTCCTCAAGAGAGTGTTATGGGAATATTTCTGTATCTCCCGTATATAAACAACTTTTCTATATCTAGTAACTATGCAGAAGTTATGGTAATTGATCAAGATGATTGATCGAATTCCAACTAAAGTTTAAAGTTTAAAATGTGAATCGTAAATATATTTTATTATAATTACCCTGAATCTTTGGTAATGGTTAAAATTTGTATATTTTATTTTTGCGGTGGAGCATTACAAAATGGGTATTGTATTACAAAGCATTTTTTTAGTTTCAATAAACAGTAGGTAAAAAGTTCGCAGGTAAAAAGGTCCACCCACACAAAATAATATAAAACAATATAAAAAAGTCCAATAATATTTGAAAGTAGAGAGAAAAAATGTATAACCCACCTTCACCGTGGTTCTTATGACGTTGCTATCGGGAAATAAACGGTAATGTTTAAAAATCCCTCACAAAAGTAGTTTCTCTTGTTGTTAGTTTTTTATGTTTGCAAACTCTGTTGCTTAGTTTTCGAGGCCTTAATATAATTTTAAAGTATACGTTATTTATTTATTCTATACAAATGTATTGTTAATTTTAAGTTAGATTCAACAGTTTTTTTCGTATAATCTTTAGAAAAGCTTACTGGTGGGTGAGGTAAAAATGACCAACTTAACCTTTACCATGGCAAGAATGTAAACTATGAAAAATAGTAAATAAAAAGTAAATTAAGGTAAATGGCAATTATACAAGAGATAAATTAAATAAATGGTTAATCGGAGTCTGCTCATGAATATTACTGGTAAAATACCAGATTAAAGTCCTATACAGTGTTATCTCTGTAAAAAATCTACCCATGAAATTTATATTTTGCATTGGTTAAATGATGTAGCTATTATTTCGTAAAATCATCAATAGAATTTTTTTAATCAAATTGCTAACACGCAGTTTTTACAGCAATCAGAACTAATATAAGCTATAAGCTGTACTGAGCACTGCTTATTACTAAGACGATACTTTTGTTAGAAAGCAATCTACTGATATTATTTTAATTTTTATATTGAAATGGTCATCGTTCTAATTGGGATATTGCAGCAATGCTAGATTAAGGGCTAGTTTTACTTACCCGGGACCTCTGAATCAAGTCCCGTCACTCTTAACCGCTTACCTACGGGAGAGCCCTGCTGCTATATTGTGATTGTAAATTTGTATATATTTTTTTTGAAAAAGGATATTTTTCTCCTGATTACGATACTGTTTAGAGAATATATATTTCGGTTACACGTACACGTAGCCGACGATCGTGTGCGTGTTTGGCAATGTGCGAGAGGTGGCCCGCCTAGCGCTCTAGCAGATCGCATTTTGACAGAGAATTAGTTAAAGACTGTGTGAGTGGACCGTGAGATTAAATCGTGGACATCAGATCAACCACCGGACACTTTTACAGGTAACACTTTGTTTTTCAAAATTAATTAGAATTATATCAAGGGAGACAATTTTATAACAGATTGCACTGCAAATCATGTCATTTTGTTTTCAATAAAAAATATGTTTTCCGTGCAATTTATTATAAAATTGTTTCTAATTAAAATTTAAAAATCATATCATTTTGGTGCAAGTGTAACCATTCATATCTCATAATATTTTAACACAATTTATTTTTTCATAAAATTTTTGTAGTATTTTACAATGATTCAAAAAAATATTTATAAACAAATTTTATTATAAACTGTAAACTCATTATTTATATTTATATTGTAGATATTTTTCAACAGCTATTACACCAATGAATGCAATTTTTTTAATAAAATATCGCATGGTTATACTTGCCCTATATATATATATATATATATATATATATATATATATATATATATAATCAGGTAATTAAACAAATTAGTTGTCCAAGAACGAAAAACTTGATAGACGTTCAGACAATGTAAGTTGTTAAATCATTGCCTTATTCAATTCTGCAAAATACAAATAATAACACACGCAAACACAGGACATATCTTTTACTTAAATAATTTAAAAAATAAACACATACCTTCTGAAAATAGGTCTGCTTTCAATATTTAGGATATTCCAGTATATAAGTTTATGACGATTAAGTACAAGCGGTCCTCCATTGATTGACTCACAACACATTCTACCTGCAAAGAAATGAAAATACATTCTCTGTAATTTGAAACAAAATCGTATAAAATTGTTAAAATCTATTTTACAAAGTTACAAGTCATATATGCAAAATATATATCAAAATGCGCCATAGAGAATAGTGCAAAGCTCAAGACTATGTGTCAATGAGCCTAAAAATAAATAGCCAAGAATCAAATAATAAAAAAAATAAAGATAATACAGAATCATAATATAGGTGCAAACTCCAGTGAAATTGTAAATCCCATTTCTTATCTCAATGAAATATTTATTATTGAAAAATAAATATAAAATTAACTGATACATAGGAATTATAAAAACCAGAACTAATTCAAAATGAAATGTTACTATTTTGGCAAATTTCAATCATTTACACCTTAATTTTACTCATAAAACTCAAATGTTTTTATTAATTTAATTTTAATTACACCTTAATTTATTTTATTTACACCTTAATTTTACTCATAAAATGAAATGTTTTTATTTTCGCAAAATTTATTTTACATCTTAATTAATTTTATTTACACCTTTATTTTACTCATAAAATGAAATGTTTCTATTTTGGCAAATTTCAATAATTTACACCTTAATTTGACTCATAAAACTTTTTTCAATCTAGCGGTGAAATATCATTCGTCATGCTGCTTTGACGATTGAAAATACATTTTATTTTAGTTCTGGCCGCAATATATATTAGTCATTTTTATATTTGGATTTCTGTCAATTCTAATACGTTATTTTAAATAATAGAGTACGAGTCCAAATGTACTTTGACACTTTGAGTGAACAATAGATTTATTTGTATCTACTGAATTGACTATCTTTGAATGTCAACGAAAACATTGACAGTTAAGGTCTGACTAGCAATTCTATTTTTGATTTATTTTGCTTATGTGTGCAAAACTTATAAAAATTTTGCTTTATTGAGTATAAAAACATCACATGATTTTCTTTAGTGAAAGCTATAGAAGCTTAAAACGCTAAAATAGTAAAAAATAAATCGTAGGAAAATTCAATGACCTTAGTTTTAATATCGAAGTACGAAATACTCAAATAACATATTTGTGATGTAAACAGTGAATTTGGCATTTAGATGCTTTACCTCGATAACATATTTTTGGACGAAACATTTTTATATTTTTATATTTATGGCCCTGATGAGCTTGTTTACTAAGGTCTTTTACTTCTATCAAATCTGATTAAAAGTACGAAGTCATCTATATTCATATTCTCTTTATTATTTTTTTCCTTAAAAGTTTTGAAAAAATAACGTTGACTAATTACAATTTTACAAATAAGTTGTATCACTTCATTTTTATTACATTTAAAAAAGTATTGAGATAAATTGAAAAGTTCATAGCAAAATAACATAAGACATGTTAGTATAAAATTCAAGAAAAAAATTGTATTCACGCAAAACACATACTCTCTTCCATACACATACACATACATCCATTTATTGTAAGGTATGCCAAAATGTTCAGAAACCTCTGAAACTTAAAGATATGCAATAAAATAATTTTCGATTTTTGGAAGATGATTTTAACTTGACGAAATGCTTAGGGGAGTTGGAAATAAAAAAAGTTGGAAGAATACATATAAGTGATAAAAGTACATAATTACAAAAAATCTAATCATACTCCATTTGGGTACTCTATGGTGTAATAGTCAAGCTCGATCTAAACAACCTGACATCGGGCAGCAGCGTTGTCCATTTTCACTTAAAAATATAGATAAGAAATATGTTTTCAATTGAAAATAAGCCCAATTCGGACACTGCGGTGTGAGTACTTCATTGAACTAGGAATTACTTTTTATATGACTATCAGACAAACTGATAAAATAACAAGTCTGACTTGAGTATATTTTAGGAAAAATTACACAAGCAAAGATCCTTTCTAATCTAAAAAATTCATTATTATAAATTTTCATGAATAAATTCAATTAATAAATAATCATAATCATTCACTAATAACATTTTCGATCAAGTACAATTAGAGTGAAAAAAACGTAATCAGTGACAAAATTGCAAAGTAATGCAATAGAGTACAAAAAAATATGTTCCTCCAAAAGCAATACAGAATCAGTTACTAGTTCCTAATTGAAGTATTTTGTGGATTTTCCAAAGCCGTTTCTACACCTTGAGTGTTTTCTTATGAATTTCGCTTGTTTTAAAGTTACCTATATGTTTTTCTGTGGCATCTAATATTAGTAAGACGAATCCAACATTGCGGAATGCTATACATTTTGCGGACCGAAATAGTTGCCTACTCTCACATTCACAAATTTGTAGTCTGCATGTAGCATACAGATATTTCGATTGCATAAATAACTTCTTAAGACAAAATATGATAAAATTAACGCATCGTTGAATGCAACATTTATATAAGTAATACCAAATTAATATAGGAAAACTATATTCCAAATTATATCAGTAAAAAGCACTAAATATAAAAAAAAACACAGTACTTTTTAGCTCCAGCAGAAAAGAAGATTAATGATCAAAATAGAGACTTAGAGATACATATGACTACTTGTATTTGTCATCATTTCCAAAAATTCCACATGGGGTAGCTAAGGGATATTTGTAACAGGAAAAACTAGTAACAAGCGTTTCTCAATAGAATCTTAAACAACATTAAAATAGTTTTGCCTCCATTAGACATGTAAAACCGTTCTCCATAATATTGGAACACTAGCCCCAAACACAGGGCAAGTTATAACACCGCACATTGTCTAGAAATTGATTAAATGTGAAACATTTAACAGTTGTCAAATAATTTTTACTTGATTCGGTAGAGGAATAGTTACAGCAACTATGCATCTTCATTTCGTAGAAATAAAATTAGTGGATCTTAAGATATATTATTTAAAATAAAAACTGTTATAACCAGCTCCCCAAATTTGGAAATGATTTTGTGAAATTTTTAAAACACAAGAAATTTCATGTGAATATTACAAATTTGCACTTTGTGTTTATTTCTAATATTGTTATGAAATTATGAATGTTATAAAAACAAAAATAATAATCTACCATAACTAGTATTTTATAAGACTTGATGGGAAGAAAATTCATCTTGAAAATTCAGAACTGTTGAATTGTTTAACTGTGAATCAGTCAAAATCTTAAGAAATATACACACAAACATGAATATTTTATCATATTATAAAATAGTTGAATTGCATGAATTATTCTTCCTTACCATGGCGTATAATACATATATTCAAATACTTTGTACTCTTTCTATATTTAAACAAGTATTGCTATAAATTGGGCCTTACGAGATCCGACATGGGTTAGGTAAGGTAAGCTTCACTCTAATTCAGGTGTCTGATAGGAACCAGATGCACCAAATCTTGAACACTCTTTCAACGTGGAACAATTTATATTCACTTGAGTGTTCTGTTCAAAATGTTCAGAGTTTAAATTATTCAGAACGAATTGTACACAATAAATACTGACCTAAATACTTTCAATATATATTAACTGTTATTTTGGCTTGATAAATTGTTGACAATTTAAATGTAAACAATTATTCAGGTAATAATTTTCAATTTTCGCCAAATTACAGTATTTTCGCGATTAGTTTTACTAAAATATACAACGTTTGTAAATCTCTTATTTTTTATGTATATATTGATTAATCCTTGTCAATTGTCCTATTCATAAAATCAACTTTTTCAAATCAACTGATTAATAAATTCAAATTATTAAATTATTGAAACTATATTTATGTAGAGATAATAGCTATAATATAAACCAAGTTCGTAATTAGTGGTATATGGCATCGTGTCTTAAGAAAATTTGCTGGAACTTCTCGTACCGAATTGAAATATTCAAAGAATTAAATTAAATGTTTACAAATATTTTATTATAGGCACTGAACCGTTCATTGTTCGTATTATATAGACAAAATGTAAGATCTTATAAATTGAACGATGACGTTTATATAAGTTTACAAGACATGTAAATGAACAGAACTTAATGAACGGGGGTTCGCTGGTTTTTGAATCATTCAAATCGGATGCTCCGTTCACTCAAAAACTACCATTTTTGCACATTTAGCTGCCTTATCTCCAAAACGGCTGAACCTATCTTTACCAAAAAACTAATCACCACTTCTCTTCATCAGTAGTAATCAAAGTTTTGAATATTTCAAATCGGTTGATCCGTGCGCCCGAAATCGTGAATGAAAAATTGTATCCACACAAAACACACACACATTGATTTTTTCCAAGACATGCTGAAACCTTGAAACGTGAAGATATGCCAAAATTTTCATTTTCGATTTATTGACTATTACCATAATTTAACCTACGGGAAGTTAAAAAATGCATAAGGTAATGATTTATGTGATTAAACCTGTCCGTGAATAGTCTTTTCAAAATAATGAAATTATAATAAAACATTTTTTAACACAAGATAGTATTTGAGCCCAAATTATATTTTAATAGTAAATTATTCTCTAGTATTTTAGGTAGTTTAGTTCAAATACCAAAAAAAATTATACACAAATATATTAATATTTCTCACTTCGATTTAAAAGACAACTCACATAAATAACATAACAAACATAAATAAGCAAAACAGAAAAATTGCAGAAAATTTTGCAACAACTATTATTTAAATATATTTGCATGTACATATTTACATATCTGACCAATGAGTGTCGATTCGGAAATTATATTGCAGTAATATAATATATACTTATGATAGTAAGGAGGAATCTAAATGGACAAAGTACATAAACTTTTAATTTATTAAGCAATTTTTAGACTTTCTCTTAATAATCACCGAATAATTTTCTATATTTCATTCAAGTTTTCAATAATTTATATGTCATATCATACTTATATTCGTACATACAAAAACATTTTTGTTGTTTATAATATATATCTTATATATAAAAATAAATCGCAAATTGTGTTGGTAAGCGCATAACTCAACCACGCCTGGACCAATTTGGCCAATTCTTTTTTTTAAATATTCGTTGAAGTCCAAGTATGGTTCTTACGGCAATCAAAAAAATTGAATAATTGCCGGAAAACCCCTAAAAACAGCCCTTTTCTTTTTCATATACAAACGTTTTCTAACTAAAACGTAGAATCAATTTGAGCTCTAAGTTTTTATAATAAATATGGTTAATTAGCGACTTTATAAAGGTAAACTGGTGGACAGGTAAATTGAAGGATATGTAAAATGGTAGAGAGGAGAACTGTTAGATAGATTAATATGTAGACAAATAAAGAGGTTGACAGGTTAATTGGTAGACATGTAGAAAGGGATGACAGGTAAATTGGGAAACAGGTGAATTGGTTGACAGGTAAAATAGTGTATTGATAAACAGGTCGATAGGTGAATTGGTAGACAGGTAAATTGATAGACAGGTGAATTGGTAGACAAGTAAAATGGTGAAAAGGTAATTTGTTGGATAGCTGGTGGTCAGGTAAATATATATATATATATATATATATATATATACATGTATACATATAACATAACATATATATATATATATATATATATATATATATATATATCTGTGTAAGTACAAATTCATTATTAGTGTGGCCTAGAATAAACGAAACGTGCGAAAACAATTAATGTCTAAAAGTGATATACATTTGTTCTATTTTTATTCATCCACTCGCAAAATAACTTCATATCAAAATAGCTAGCTTATACAAGGATCCAAGAAATGACAAAAATACTAATATAATGACCTTTGATAATGTAAAGGGGTCAAGCTAAACGTAGTCTATTTTGATCAAACAAACTATAGACAAGCTTTTACATAAAGACAATAGACGAGCTTTTACATAAAAATCATATGCACACAGGTGCACAATTAATTAATATATCAAATAAATATTTTAGAAACTACTAATAAAATATACACATTCAAATACTCTTTTGAAGTATTTTTTATAATTTGCTTGAAATTACTAATTATAAAAAAATTATCTACATGATGAAATTTCCGATAAGCTTACATAAAGTTTAAACAGAATTGTGGTGCAAGATGTCCGGGAAATACAAAATTGATTTATCACGTTATGCGTCATTGAGTGCATCTATTAGAATTTTAATTGGTTTACATTTGAAAACATCGCAAATTGATATTGTATGCAGACACATTACTTCAACTAAGTGCCAAATTACCGTTGATATCGGAGAAAGAGTGCAATTCATAGACACACATTTGGCAGATCAACTCCCGCGAAACAAACTGTTGGCAATTGATTATAGTAGTCGAAGAGTTGGTTACATACAATAATATTGTATGTTATACATTCATACAGGGCCGGATTTAGAAATTTGGCGCCCCGGGGCACTGACAAAAAATGCCGCCCCATCCCTGAAATTTTACGAACTTTCGAACTTTTTTTAAAGTAATCGCGCTGCTTTAGCTACGAGGGACAAAATATAGAAGCGCGTAAGCGCCGCGTCGCAGTCTAACAATGTTACAGAACTTATTTAAATGAAAACAAAATTTATACTTATTATTATAACATCTTTAAAATATCTGATAATTTAATGTGCATATGATCACTTTTGTCCGCCAAATGTTTCTTTTTCAAATTTTTTTATTGGATCATCGAAACCGCTAAACCTGCCCCCACAAATTTAAGCAGTTATTTATTCTATAATTTTTTTTAATGTTATTGGACGCTTTTTTCTTAAAAACTGAATAATCATTTTTGGCATTTTGGCCCGTATCTTCAAAACTGTTGGACCTGCCTTGACCAATAACTAATCAGCACGACTCCTTATCAATGGGAATTGAATCATAAATCGGTTGATCCGTGTTCTCAAAATCGACTTGAATGATTAAAAAATATTAGATTTGTATTGATGGGGAGACGTGCTGATTAGCTTTTGGTACAGGCAATTACGAAAAATGATAATTTAGTTTCGATATTTCTTCTCTGAAACATCTACGCAGCGCGATTGCTTTGCAAAAAGTTTATAATTTTCGAAAAATTTCAAAATACAAAAAATGTGTTTTAGAAGTCTTTTTTTCATTTTTCAACAAAATTTAAAGCTCTTTATAAAATGTAATTTTCAGTACGGGATGTTTCAGTAATTTGTCTTAAGGCACAATGCCATGAGTCACTAGTTTAAATATTTTTTTCGACGCTATAAGCTTGGAAGTGCACAAATACGTCATTTTAAGAGGGCTCGAGAACTGAAGAACATATTTTTCTTAAACTTTCAGCTTGTTTACGGATTTTTATATTAGCCAAATTGCCAAATTTGATAATAACTTATTAACCAATTTGATAATTTACGTTCGGAGAGGGAGGCAAGGCAAAATAATAAACTTTAGTTATCGTTTATTTCAACCCAAATTTTGCATTGCAATCGTATTATGTTTTGTTCATTATATTTCTTGAAATAAAAAACGTTGTTAAAAAACGTTGATTATATTGTATAGAATTTTTTTCTCACTATCCAAATTTTGCCGCCCCCCAAAATTTGCCGCCCTGGGCAGTAGCCCCGATTGCCCCTACTGTAAATCCAGCACTGCATTCATATATAAATTATATATATAAATGGCAAGGAACAAAGATCCAATTGAATTTTTACAATTATATTGTAAAACAAAACTAATTACATGACAACAAATAACACATATCAAACAAACAACAATTTAACTGTATACAGTAAAGCTCCAAGCTAATTCATCATTGTAGAAATGAGTTTTATCTGTTGTTTTTCAAAAATTTGTCACCTGATCCTTTAAAAATAGGACAGCCAGGGGGCAAACAGTTTTAATGTCTTATTCTTAATTTTGAAAGAATTTTAAGAAATAATAACTCAATTATTTATCCAATGTGAAATAAAACTTTTATGGCCTTATTTTTAATAAAAATTACACCGTAAATAAACTTGATCTAGTACTTTTTCATTTACTATTTTTTATTGTATACACCTCCTGCGCCTTAAGGTAAAAGTTCAGTTGTTTTTTTACCCCATCCACGTGTAAGCTTTTATAAAAGTTATATAAAAAAAAACTGTTGAATCTAACTTAAAACTAACAATACATCTTATAAAACAATTAAATTACGTATGTTTAGAAAAAAAAACATTAAAATCTCTTAAAATAAACAACAGTTCTCACAACCAAAAAAAAAACTATCAACGAAAGAAAATACTTTTGTTGTGGATTTTCAACCATGATCAATTACAGTGAATATGTAATTGATCATCATGAATTAGTTTTCCAAAGTATACTAAATATACAAGTTATACTAAATTTCGTAGCTGGTCGCAGGATATCGTTCGATTCCAAAATGAAATTTTCAATATTATTACGTAGCTATCCTACACTTTGATATAGGGGGGAGTCGCGTAACGCCGGACGGTACCTAACGCCGGACACTCTATTTAACACATATTATTTAAGCGAGTATAAATCTTTTTATTTTGAAATACAAGTGAAAGGGGCGCGGGGTGCACACAGGTGCAGGATCACGTGCCAAGACTCACATGTGACGCACTCGGCCACGGCGGGAGCAACTCATTGTTGTTTTAAGCGCAAAATTACGGCGTCACCTAAATTTCAGTGGACGTAATTCTAGTGTAATTATATTTGAGTGGCATTCAAAGATAATAGCAGTATTTGATTGTTATCCGTAAAATGGTAAAATATTATTAGATATTTTAAACAATTTTAGTAGGTACCACCAAATGAACGAAAATGTTGTCCCTTAGCACCGGACACTGAGTCGTCCCTTAGCGCCGGTCAGTAAACATATTGATATTTCTTGTGAGAATTGACGTAATTTATTCTAATTATTTAATTTTGTTCTGTATGAGTGCTAACGGTCACTACATACCCGCATTTTTCGTATTTCCTTGTCGAAGAATGAAAATTTTATGATGAATGCTCCAGCTGAGAGCATCGGTGTGGCCCAGCCAAAAGGGTGGATAATTAGTGATTTTTTTTTGCAATATCTAAGAATATTAGTCAAATACACATGTACAGACATTCCAGAGTGTGAAGATGACTACAAATGTGTTCAATGCTGGTTATTTTAAAATGTCCGGTACTAGGTGCCGCTTTGTAAAATCATATTTTTTGTTACCAAAGTTTGATCGATAGTATTAATTATTTTTTAACAATGATCGCGTTTTTATTAATTTATTCTGATTTCTAACTTTGTTATCTAACATAAGTCATGATTTAATAAACATTTCGTAAAATATTTTTTGATTTATTTATAAATAAACTTTGCTGTCCGGCACTCGGGGACTTCCCCCTATAGTAAACTCCAAATAAAATAGTGTAAAATATAAATAAAACTAACTTGCATTCAGATATAAATTTGGAAATAATATTAATTATTGAAGTTGAACGTTGAAGTATATTAGATAGTTCGGAAAATCAATTTTATTTTCAAATTATCCTCGACAATTATAGATAGACCTTGTGCTACATGAAAAAGTCCCTTACTTTTGCCTCAGTAAATATGTATTTAAAAAAATTAGAAATAAATAATTGTTTTATTTTAATATTTGATTTCATAATTTAACAACTTTATATCAGTCAGAAGAAACACTTACGTTAGATAAATACGCAAATAAATAGACGAGCATTATTACCAGTGTCTAAAATGATCTGGTTGCATATAAGTTGCCCTTGCACCTGATCCTTCGACCCGCAGTGGCCGTGATCAGTATCTCAGGCAGAATGATTTATGTAATTTGGTTCACTTGTACCGTGATGTCCTCATATTTTTTTAATTTCCAGAACTAGCCGTAATTGATTCAACGACCAATAAAGGAGCAAGAAGGCAAATAAACCAAAAAGATGGCAACCTATCCAAAGCTTGTCAATAAGCAATTCAATTCACCAATTAAACTGTATTCTCCGCAGAACGTTCAGGAAACGCTCAACAAGCAAACTCAGTTGTTAGCCAATGGAGCAGTTGGGTAAGTAACCATATAAAATTATATAAAGTTAAATTCAAATTTATAAAAAAAATGTGAATTTAATATATGAGGGAGCTATACCATCGAAAAATCTAAAGTTCGAACAGCGTTTTTGCTATTATTTAGTATTGTCCATTTTAATCGCTCACAAACACTTTTTTCGTCTTCGACTATTTACCTTTTATCTTTTGATATTTTGTAATAGAGTGATATTTTGTAATAGAGGATTACTTATTGTGATCATAATTTTTGCTGTTGGCTATTAGAGAACAACCCAATGATCCACTTGTCCAACTCCATGTCCAATTCTTTTTAACTTTTGCGGTAATGTCTGGACGGGCTATTTCCATTAGAACTATATTTTTGATCTATAGATCTTTGGATTCAAGTTATAATGAATATCGTTCCTGATTGCAATCAGTTTCTTTCATTTCACAAAGATCATCGGATCTTTGTGGCTGTAAGGCCGACTTTCCCAACTCTCGCCAATAATAAATTTAGAAATAAATTGAATGAATTTATTCAAACTTATTTTGGAATTTGAAAATTTCTGCATCAATTACACTATATTATAGATTAGCCCTTATAAATCAATCACTCACAACGGCAAATTGAACCAAATTAAGGAAACGGCTATTCGAATGGCAAAAAAATTGCATAAAAGCTCAATTTAAACATTTTATCACGATACAAATGTTTTCAACTGTAATATCAATGAACAGCAATTATAAATAAATAAACAAAAAAGTTCAAAATTTTACTCTTTAAGTAGGTTCCGCATTAATTGAAGAATAGTACACAAAATGAAATAATTTTTAATATTCAAAGCAAAACCTTTAACCTAAATGACATTAATTTAAAATAAAAGTTTAAATCTCACTGATTTTATATCATCCAAAGTACGGTTGTCAAAATTAATAAAATTCATACATGAAACAATGTAAGTAGGAATTGCATCGCGCTCCTGCAATTGTGCAATTGCGATATTAATAGAATAAATTTTGTATTGACAGTTACGACATGTATAAATCATATATGCATCAACATTATTATGAAAATCGATTTTAATCTTGATCTTGTTCAAGCAACATAATTTTGATTTATGTCATCGTTAAAGTTGTATAATATAAGGTTGAACTTAAATTTATTGCTTCTAGAGCTTAGGACTTCTCTTAGAAATAATTTCTCTTATAATAAAGTTCAAATAGATTTGCAAAATTAAATGGTAGTAATTCATTAAATATACTGACAAAAAAGTTCTTCAAGTCTGATCACATTTTTATGGCCTAATTTTCATCATTTCTTACATAGGTATATCGCATTTCAGTATACAGTGATTTGTATGCATTTTACTCCTCAATAAACACATAAAAAAGGCAATTAAGTATTCACTATTTAAGTTGAGTTCACTGATAAATGAAGTATACAAATAAGAATATAATTGTTAAGTCTGAAGAGGTTTTGATATTTTACTATCAAAGCTTATAACATTTGATACTTTTCAATAAGCTTAACATGATTCGTAAAATTACAATAAAACGAAAGATTAAATAATTTTAAATTGTGAACACAATTAACTGATTTTATTTCACAATAGATGTGTTTCAAAAAATAAAATATTTTTTATTAAATTATTAACATCTATCAATTACATCATTGGTTATGATAATATAGAGTGCATGCAAATTTTTTTTAATATTTAGCACATTTAGTTCAAGAAAAATATTAAATTTAGAGGCACCAATGATTTGATGAATAGTAAGAAATTATTATATAAACTTTTAGCAACAAAAGTCTAAAACTGAAGTAGTGGTTTCAGGCAAATTGCCGGAACTTCCCATACCGAGAACTAATATTTAAAAAAAAAACTTTAAAATTCTTACAAAACTTTGAGAATATTTTTTTTAGAATTTCGAACTTTCAAAAAAAAAATCATTTTTTTTTATATTTTGAATATTTTTTAAAAGTTGGAACTTTTTTCATACAATTGCGCTGCTTGGCTGTTTTAGAGACAAAATATCGAAGTGCGTAAGCGCCGCGTCGTAGTCTTTATGTTTATATGGGTCATTGGTAGGGAACCCATATAAATATACACATAATTTGTACTTATTTTTATAATCTCTATAAAATATCTGACAATATGATGTGCATATGTCTAATGATCATTTTTGACCGCTATCATTTTTGATATCATTTTTTACTTTTTTTATTGGGCCCTCCGAAAACGCTGTTCACTTCGTCAATAAAAGAAAAATATTTTCTGAATTATTCAAATGGGACGCCCCGGACTATTTTCGAAACGGCTAGGCCTGCCATTGCTAAAAACTACTAATCAGCACGTTTCCTTATCAGTAGGAATCGAATGCTTTTTGATTTATTGAAATCGGTTGATCCGTGTTCTCAAAATCGTCGACAAAAAATTGTGTATGCACATACATACACACACTAAAATAAAAGATATATAATCCAATGCAATATATGAGCAATAATAATATAAATTATGTTTACAAATTTATAATTGCAGCGATTTTTGCGCAAACATTATTTATCACATTCACAGTTAATTATAACACGTGCCAAGTGCAGCTTTATTGCGTGCTCCTTCATTCTAATAAAGTCTTAAAAATAGACATTAATTAATTTTATTAGCTGTAAAGCAGAGAATAGATCTTTAAGTTTTATTTGAATTTCTACAAAATCAAGGTTAAGTAGGTATATATCGCAATTCCCAAACATAAAAAAATCCACTAATGACCAAGTTCAGTGTATTTTGAGCCATTAGTCGTTGGGAATTTTTTGTTTACTTTGGAAAGGTAATCTAAAGTAGCCTAAACTAAAATTGTAAAATATGCAGTAAAAACAGATACGTATTAATATTAATTTTTATTTTGACTAAAAAAAGCAACTTTATATTTACTACGTCCGTAAGCTTAAATGTAAAGTTATTTTAATAGTAATATTTTTATATTGAAAAAGATTGAAACATTCACTCAAAGACATATAATGATATATTAAACAAATTCTTATTTAACAAAATCATTTAATTATTATATACTTATGTACTACACAATTTATTTTCTGTCGGCGCTACATCCAACATTTGCAATTGTGCAATTTGAACATAATATTAAAGATACTTTTAACATTATATACATTTTGCTAGAATTCTTTATATCGAATTTCAGACCTTTTGACTCAGATATTAAATCACAATAAAATATTGATAAAAAATTTAATCAATTAAAATGTTTAGACTGTAATCACGCATTAACCACTATAATCTATTGCAATAGGTTTTAGACCCTGAAAAATTGTAAAATAATAATATTTCTTAGAATTCCAAATATTTGGTGTAATTGATTTTTTAAATATTTCTTTGAATTACTAAATTTCTTAACTAACGAAAGAAAAGTTCAGCGTTAAATTTGATTATAAATTCAGCACTACTCACTATATAGAGATAAAATATTTCTACAAAATTCCTAATATAATTACAAAAAGCTAAGCATAATAAATGATCTAAAACATTAATAACACAAAACAATATCGATATTTACAAAATTAAATCAACATTTTTCAAGAAATATTTTAATTTATAATCTATTAAGGCGTAAGACTGATTAGTTTTTTTTTACATAGTATTTGTAAAATTTGATTGTATCGCATCGTATTTCATAAATGTTAAGAAAAAAAATATTTTTCCACGCGTTCACAAAATCGTTCAAAAACTTTCCGAGTGATATCGGTTAAGAATGATTAGATAAGTATAAAGATCGTGTTAGTTTTTAGTAATTAAAATATTTATTAAATATTCGTTTTGTCATCTATTTAAAACATTATCTGAACTATAATATGATAATTGTTTGTCCGTTCTCTTATTTTTTTATTATAATTGTCATTAAGTGTTTTAAGTAAAATAAAAATCACCTTAAATTAATTGTTTTAGGAGTACTATTATTTTAATTAAATTATTCATATATGTCATAGTCTTTGGTGAATGTATGAGTAAGTTATATAATTAATAGTTTCATATTTTATAATACAAATTATTCTTCTATTTGATGAATTATGAACTGCATAAAAACATCTATGAGCCTATAATAATGTAAAATAAAATGCATAGACTAAAGACAATTTTCTGTTTTAAATTGCCCCTATAATATTATGAATCACCCTCGCCAAGCAATCCGAATTAATTATAAATTTTAAATAATAATTTATACAAATCACATATTGCTCTAGATTTACTTTAATAGATTAACGATTTACTTTCGGTCCTTTGCAATATTGCAATGTGATGCATCGCAAATATATGCTGCAGTTTTTAACTCGAGGAATAACTACAACAATAAATTTTCTCAAAAGTAATACGATATCGCAATCCATTTCAAAGAAGTGTTAAAATAATCCCCTTGGTATTCGTATGCTTCCATATGTATGATATCAGCACAAGTAAACAGAGAATTGAGAAATCACATATGCGTCTCTTGAAAACATTTGTTCTTGTTTGATTTCGGTTTTGCCATTTGCAAAACTGGAGCTAAATAGTAATTTTAGGATATGTTCAATGAAAACATTTTATTGGTTTTCACATGAAACGTAAGCAATATATCATATATATATATATATATATGTATATATATATACATTCATACACACATATTGCGCACAAAAGCTTTTTAACAAGAACCCATCAAGATAATGAAAAAAAATTATTATGTTTCCAAAAAATTATAATTGACTTCCATGATTTGATGATTTGTTGATTTTGAACATATTGGTCAGAATGGTTCATCGCTTATATATTAATTATGTTTTTCAAATAATTTATGTATTTTTTTTTTCATTGAAAAAGAGTCAAACAGAAAGTCTATTCAATTTTTTTAGAAGCATTTCAGTTTCTCACTTATCTGTTAGAACGCCTGTTAATTTTATTTTATTTATATACAGATAATAATTAATTACATTAACAACACTATTAATAATATTACTCGTTGGAC